ATCATGTAAACAACAGAAACATACAGTTCCTACCTGACTTCAGTATCTTTCCATGAACTTGGATGTGTCATGATATTAGACCAAGCCTTACAAACAATAAATGCATTGCATTTGTCCTGTAAAGGCAGGAAAGAAAAGATATGTGCAAGGATCTCTTCTGGCAGATCCATTCCATTCCAGATCAATCTTCTGTCGACAGCAGTAAGTTAGGTTAAACACAGGATTGAAGCAGGTTATCTGATATAGTAACTGAAAACCTCTTAATCCAGGGCAGTTCGTGGTGACTCTGCTGACTGTAAGTCTGTCAGACTTCAGGAAAAAACATACATACGTTCTCAAACTTCAGCACTTCCTCCTGCGTCACTAGTTCCGTTGTTAAACGCAGCGAAGACAACTAGTTCTGAGCTTTTAACCAATCACAGTAGAATAAGTGAGACTCTTAGCCAATCAGATCCCTGGGTATTGTAGTGGGTGTGTTTTAGTAGCAACCAAGAAAGTGCTTCGACACCTCGAAACTGGAAAGTTTCCTTCTTTCAAGTTTGTAGGCCTGTTTAGACCTCCTTATCATTCAGACAGAGTTCATCATATCGTTGTGTAAGTAACATGTAATATATAACAAAACGCGTCATTCATATTTTCTGTAATGTGATTTAAGGGCAAGCAGAATTGTGTTTTGTTAAACTTTGAGAAGTTCACGTGAGAAGTAACGTAAAATGTATAAAAATAAAAGCTACGAGACTTGTTCGAGCGAGCGATTGTTGTTGTTTTTATCGATTTACCTCTCATAAATATAAAAAAGTTAACGTTTTGAAATGTGAACCATCATATTACCGGTAAACATGTGCATCGCATATCTGTAACAATCACAACTGCCGTCTGACCCCATTTAATAACACTGTCGACCATTAAGCTCACAGCTTTAAAAGGAAGTGGCTACTTGTTGGGAAAACACAGAAATAACGTTTGTTTGTTTGTTTTGTCTAGCCTATTTAACTCTTCCAATAACTTAAATGTCATGATTTATTTGTCTTTGTATTTATCTGCTCATTTGTTTATGTTCACAGGACTTGAGAGAGCATTCTGATCTGAAGATGGACAGTATAGACACAAAGGTACAGTGTTTACATTTTTGTCCCTCCAGATGTTGTTGTTGTATGCAAATTAACAAAGTGTATATGCTTTCATCTTCATTTACAGAGGTTAAATGACAGCAATGCCAGTGACCGTGCGTTGTCAGGGTGTGCTGTGCTTTTCTTGGGATGTAGCAGTCTAGAACACAACTTTTTATCTCTTTACAAAGATGAAAGAGGGAAATTCAGTGTGTTTAAGGTTATTAAACTCACCCTATCAGGTAAGATTTCATAGAAAATATACAGAAAATACAGTTCTTTTCCCACTGCACTTAACGTTAAGTTGTAGCACTGGTTTTAACGCTGCATGTAATATTTCACACTTGGTATATAAAGCAGGGTTAGCACTTTTTTTTACCCTAACCTGATTTCACCAAGTAGGACTGGACATGTTCCTGAATTAACATCAATGATGATCCTGGAACAACATTCCAATCAGCCTATCAAAATAAAGGAATATGTTAACAGTTTAGTGTCAAGTTTAGGCTTATGCACTTTACATGACTGTTATCCAACTATTATTCCCTACTGATTTTGAGTATAATTTACAGTTATGGTTGGGTTTAGGGGTAGGGAATAGCTATGGATTACATTTTTGAACAAAAATTATGTTCCAGGATCAACATAGATGTTAATCCTGGATCACATCGTACTTGGCAAAATCATGACGTTTCCATTTTTTACCCCATTTACATGGACACCTATCATGCGATTTTAATGTGATCAAGACAATACTTTGATTAAGAGTCTACCATATAAACAGTGAATTTTGATTAATTTAATCAGATTAAGGTCATAATCGAACTAAAGAGAAATGAAATTAAGACATGTGGAGTATGCCAATCTTATTGGTATTATTGAAGTGCAGTACAGACATGTCAACACCTTAATTGAACTATTACTGTCATGTAGGACTTTCGCCGCGTTTTGCGACAGAATAGTCCACCCACAAACACACACAGCTGTTTGACACTCTTTGCAACAACCGAGTCAGTGGAGACCACAGACACCTGCATTATGAAATGCAGAGTTTTTTTTTTTCTTCCATTTAGCATGGTATGAACTTCCATTAAAACAACACTCTTCCAGCAGTTCATAGTTGCATCCAATATCTTGTTTGTCACAGGGGCATGCATAAAATGTTCCCAAATGAAAATGAAAGTGCCAAATTGCAGTTTAAGTCGACAAATTAAAAATGAAACACCCGAAATTACATGAAACTCCAGAGGAAATGCAGATAGCATGGTGACGCAATGACGTTAATCGAATTATGGGCTGTAACATGTAAAACGGGATCATAAAAAGGAACATTCAAAAAGCAGCTCATGTAAACGCCTTAATCTTATTATTGTCTTAATTAGATTAAGGTTAATAATTTGAATACTGATGTCCATGTAAACGTAGTCATTAAAAGATTCCGAATGCAAACAGCACACTAGAAATGAACTCTGGACCTTTTATCTGCTCATTGTAATTGGGATAATGAGGAAATAACACACACCTGGCCATGGAACAGCTTAGAAGCCAATTGTCCAATTACTGGACCCTTAACAAGTGGGAGGCACATATGCAAATGGTTTTAATTCCTACAGCATTATTATAGCTCATATTAAAGCTGACAGTATGCAGTTAAAGCACATCTTGTTAGTTTTATTTCAAATCAATTGTGTTGGTGTGTAGAGGCAAAAATGTTAGAATTGTGTCAATGTCCAAATATTTAAAAATTTAACTGTATATTACCTTTAATTTATTATTGCCTAGAAGCGCATAAGCCTGCAAATATTGCTTTATTTAGCTATACATAAATAGTAACTTCAAATATTTAACATTTTTTCCTCAATAGTCTAACAAATGATTCACATTGCTCCCAGATCTTTAGCTTAAACAAGAAACTACACACACCTGGCTTTAAACATACACATTTTATTACATTAAACTTTGTTTTAAATTCAGCCCTCCAAATGACAACTTATAACAATTACCCTGCTCATATTTCTAATAATTACACACCTCTTTTAGCTGTACATTGTTCTTCACGGTCAGTGAGCTGCACTTGTCCAATTCATTATGTCTACAAACACTCTTTCCACAATAAGTGAATAATGCAGTGTTTTTTTGAGGGTTTGGCACCTATGTTTAGTACCACTCCTGAACTGCTAACCCAGCAATGCAGTGCCAAATTATTAAGTTTAAACTAAAGTGTGAAACATTATCATTTACCTTTTTTCAATACCTAGGATTGTTATTCACTGCTAAAGTATGTTCAATGTTAAACATGAAGCAAGATAACCCAGGATTCAGTTTATTGGAATTTGGGATGACCCTTGGGTTGACCATTTCAAAGAATACAGATACTGTAGATTTATCAAAATCAGTGTGTTGCACTTGTACAATTCCCCTGTCTTTGATCCAGATTCTGTTGGTGGACTGGAAGGGTATGAAATCCTGAAACTGCACGATGCTGATCCCTACCTTGGGGTGGAACTGAAATTCATGGCTATGCCTCCCTGTCAGAGGTTCCTGGAGAGCTACGCATGTGGTTCACTCACTCAGTTTCTATCCCAGCATGCCTCACGTCTTCTAGCGCTTCCTGATGGGGTTGAAATAGAAACGCAGCTCAAAGCAGGAGTACATACGTTGGACCACAGCCTTCAGGATATAGAGATCTGCTTGGATCACATTCGCCAATCACAGGTATGTGACAACATTTATGAGTGGCTAATAACACCTCAGATAACAGATATAAATCACATTTTACTACTACTTCAGAGAGGCTGCTATTCTGCTATTTCTGACCTTAAAGTTCATGAGGATTCATAATTAAGCGAAGTTTAGTTTTAAACCCAAGTGTCATTGGTGTAAATGGTGCTGGGAAGTCTGCTGATTTTGATTGAATATTCACAGCTTCAACAAGTGTAACAAATAATAATGTTAATTGGACATGTTCTTTTACATTTGTGACATTGGACCACAAAAGCAATCTTACTTTACACTTGTATGTTTTTGGCAATTTCAAAATTATAGATTTTTTATGGCAATAATCATTAGAATATTGTTGCATTGATAACCTGGTGGACAGCGGGCCAACATATAGCGCTGCAGGCATCCTAAAACAGCAGTCCCGTCCTGACTTGTGTATCTTTCCTGATCCCATCCCAGTCTTTCTCCTGCTTCACTTTCTCTTAATATGCTGAAACGCATGTAATCATGTAAAGATTAACTATATCAAAACTCATTTTCATTCGGCTTAGGGCACAGGTGTCACAGGTGTCAAACACAGTTCCTGGAGGGCCACAACTCTGCTCAGATTTGTTCCAATCCTAATTAAACAAACCTGACTGACCTAATTGGGTCCTTTAGACTTGTTTGAAAATTACAGCTAAAGCTGTGGTCACACTGCACTTTTCACCCAATAGACTTCCATTCATACCCATGCGAATGCGGTAGACTGGAAATGCAAGCTCGTTCAACAAGTTTTGCAGTTTGCTGCGTTGGAGAGTTTAAGCTTTGTGAACTCTGACCTGTCTGACATCACGTGATTGCATGAGACCAATCACAAATCAAAACATGACCTTTCTGGACAGAGATGTAAAATATGGACCAATTGCTCATTTTTTTAAAATGTGAAATCATCTTGTTTAATTGTGCCCCTTTCGGCTGCACCGTACGACAGAATTTCACATGCTCAAACTCTATTGTGGCCGCGACATTAGTGTGTTGAAGCAGGGCTGGAACTAAACTGTGCAGGGCAGCTGCCCTCCGGGAACTGAGTTTGACACCCCATGTTTAGAATCTAATTTGTCAGGGGTTGGAATAGGAGTTGAAATGAAACACCAATTTCTCTGGCACATATATCCGCAAACCAGCACAGAGTTCAAAACTCGTGAATCCTCAGTGCTGGGAAACTCTCATACACTACTCATAACATTTAGTTCATTTAATTCATCTGATCTGCATGTCTTATGTCTGTGGGGAAAACCAGAGTATGAAGATGCAAACTCCACACAGGAATAACACCTGGCCCACCTAGGACTCGAACTAGCAACCTGGCTGTGCTGCAATATTAAATCTTTATTTTTGATAAGTAACATGCACTGCTAAGCCTTTCTTGTAGGGCACTTTCCACCAAAACACTGAAAAAGCCGACACTCTTCTGAAAGGGATCACTCCACACTGAGCGTAAAGTGCACACTGGCTATGCTGTAGGCGTTTAAAAGCACACTTTCAT